CAGTAAGATGTAAGGTGTTCAAGGGTGGGATCACCTCAAAATCTTTATTTGTTGGTAGATGGAGAGCAAACTGCAAATGTTGTTTATGAAGAAGCTTTGTTATAATTTCAAAATTATGAGATAAAGTTTATGTTCAAGTTATTACTTTGGAATATATGATTGCTGTTAAACTTACATTGCTTCAATTAAGTTCAAACAGTCCCCTTCAGTTGATGGGTATTTCAGCTTATATTTCATAAGTAAAGAAAGGGAGTTCTTAAAAATCCTTTTTTTTTCTATTAAAGAAAAGATTGATATTCAGTATTAGATGACATTCATCTCATCTTTGCACCTTTGTAAAACCTACAGTTTTAATTTTTCAAATGCACAAAGTACAGTATCTATACTCCAAAAGAAAATGAGCTAGAACTTTAGGTATGAAAAAGTTTCATAAACCAATAACAGCGTGAAACTCTTTATGCAGGAAATACACCTGTGTCATTCATTTGGTTACTTATGTGTTACCTTAAAGTTTTAATTACATTCAAGAAGAAAGAATCCTGTAACTTTTGTTAAATTATTTCATTTCTTTTACACTTTACTGTAATTTTGTGAATTTATGTATGAATTCTACAAGCCATTGATATTTTCTTTTTCCTGAACTGCATGTACGTTTTTATACCTGAATGTGTGTGGTATTTCTTCGAATCCTCATGATAAGAGCACGAAATAGGATAAGACCAGAAATTGCTGCAGAACAAAATGGTTTATTGAGGATAATGGAACTAGGAATGCCATATATATTCTACAAATGCTCATAGAAAAAACAATTGAGATTAAAAGAGACCTACACCTCTGTTTTAATGAAACATGATGAATTGTTTTGTTTATTTGAGTTTAGATACTGAAGAAAAAATATCTTTGTGTGATCAGAGATCTGTATTGGGGTCAAACAGCAGCAATGTGATTAAATGATCAATTAAGTGTCTTCAAAAAAAAAAAAAGAGTATTAATACAAGGATGTGCTTTATCACCTGATTTATTTAACATTTACACTGAAAGTATCCTAAGAGGCACTGAACACGTAAATGGTGTAAATGTGGGCAGATATAATCTGAACAGCCTCCGATATGCAGATGATACAGTTTTGATAGCAAGATCAGAATCAGATATGTAAGATCTCTTGGACATAGTGGTTCTTGAAAGTGGTTTATCCCTCAATGTGAAAGAGACTGTATGCACGATCATATCAAAGAAAACAATCATACCACCCTGTAATATATACAAAGCAAAGGAGGTAAATTAAAACAAGCCAACATATTTAAGTATCTAGGCTTTACCATAACAACAGATGGGTGATGCAAAGAAGAAATTAAGAAAAAGAAGAGGAAGGCAAAAAATGCTTTCCAAAATATTTTCCCAAACTGAAGAACAATAACATTTCTATAACCATTAAAACTCATGTTCTCAAACGTTAAGTTTGATCTGTTCTATATGGATGCAAATGTTGGACAGTAACTAAAGTAGTTACGAGGAAGTTACAAGCCACTGAAATATGGATTTGGAGAAGAATTCTATGGAAAGACTGGACTGAAAAAATTACAAATGAAAAAAGTGCTAGAAAGAGAGCAAAAGCAAAGACCCCTCTTATAAAAACTATCAGAGAAAGGCAGTTAAAATATTTAGGGCATATCATCCACAAAGAAGTCTTAGAATATCAAGTACTGACAGGAAAAATCAAGGGGAAAAGAGACAGAGGAAAGCAAAGAACAAAGTACATTAATAGCATGAGGAAATGGATTGGCAACTTAGCACTGAATGACAATGACATCATCCAGTTAGCTTGTGACAAAGAAAAATGGAGAGTCATTATCACCAACTTCTGTTCATAGCAAAAGCACAAGACATTAAGTTGTTGCTCAAATATTTGCAAAAAATTAGAAATGCATGTATATTTTATGAGTGAATAATGCATCAAATTGGTGAAATTATGAATCACATAATGCATTAGCCCAAACATACTAGAAGAACTTTCATATGTCGAGTCACCATGAGATGCAGAGTATTGAATGAGATCATATACTTCTACAGGGTTGTAAACAGTACTTTTTAAATTTCATTCACATATTAAGCAGAGGCAGATGGAGAACAAAAATGTATCGGTGACATGGTGTTGGAAGTTAAAATCTATAATAATAAAATAGTGTGCCTGTGTGTGTGTGACTGCCATAGTTTCAAAAGGAAAGAACTTAGAAATCTGAAATTTTGCATCCATATTAACTGAACCCTAAGGGTGTGCACCTAGATATTATTACTTATCCACATGCATGCGCGCACATGCTTCCCATAGTATACCCTGTAGTGTATCAGTTAGATTAACAACTTCTAAAATATAGAAAAACCAGTGCACTTTGGTAATAACACATTCCAACAATGGCTTTTATATTGTGTTGCTTCGTAACAAAGTATAACATAACATTAGTGTTAGTCTAAGTACTGAAAGTATAAAATGAAATGTATAAACAACAAAACTGGAATGCTATTTGTTGATTTCTTAAGTTAGTCTTGATTGATTAAAGAGGTTTCTTTTGTATTATAAATGTTGGTAGTAGTTTCGTATGGTGTTTGTCGCACCTCCATGTTCTTTTGAAGGTAAGTATCCGGGAGTAGAACTGGCGTCCTTGTCCGGACACCAGGTTAGCATGTTTCGGTGTGACAGTGATTCGAACCCGCAACACGCAGATTGCGAGTCAAGTGCCCTAACCACCTGGCGATGCCGGACCATAAATGTTGGTGACAAAACAGAAAATACCTTAATTCAGAAATGATTTAAGTTTAAAATTAAACTGATATTTTTACTTTCATGATAAATTTTATGCACTTGCTATAATATATCAACCTAATAACCCATGCGAAGCCAGGTACTTTCACTAGTAAAACATATTTGTGACACACAAAAAAAGAAAAAGAATAAGTGCAAATCTCAGTATTATACTAATAAAGGATATCTATCAGTAAAGAATTTTTAAACAAGCAATAGAATAAATAAAAGAGGTAATCAATTAGTTACTTGAAAAATGCAATATTAAAAAGACAAAACTGTGAATGCAGATAAATGAAAATCATTAAGTTACAGTACCATTTTTTGTGCATGAACAATAATAAAATTGTAAGAAAAATATATAAATTCTGAAATCTGAATACATAGAGTCTTATTTTGTTTAAGTCTATGAGACCTTGGTGTGTCAATTCAATTTACATGTTATATGGTTTGTTTTATTGCACTGTGAAAACAAGCTACTAAATGAAATTGTTTGAAACTTCAAAATTACTTTCTATAGATTATGTAGTCTGTGCAAATATGTCATTTTTATATGTGATATTTGTATGAATTCACATCTTTGAAATTTCATCTCTGCAAATTTTATCTCTGTTTTGATTAAAAAAAACAATACATGCATCTTCATTGCATTTACAATAACGGGCATACAATAAAAAGAAATGTTTTACCATATCAAAATTATAATAAAGCCAACTTTCTATTAAACTGTTTATCAGAAGGCTTTGTTTAATATATACTTAATAACTCTAAAACCTATTTTATTTTCACTTACGTATATACACACACACACAAGAAATCAAACATATTTTGTTTAGAGAAGTGATTAATAAAAACAAAACAATATAAATATATTTTAAAAAATATTTTAAAAACTATTTATTAATGTCAATTTAAAACAAATAAATAAAAACTTTTATGTTAATTTAAATGGTGTATAAAATGATAAAGCAAGCTTTTGCAAACTTTAAAAAAACAGAATTGTACTTGTAGAGGAAGTTGTTTACAAATACCTTTCTTCTAGCAACCTATTACCAAGTTAAGCTTTTTTCATTTTGTTCTAATCTCTAGGAGAATTTCTACTGAACTGGAATGTTGCCATCTTTTCAGTTTAAAAGAACAGAAAAATAGCTTTCATGATATGTTTAGATCACTAGCTGAGATATAGGCAATTATATCACATCAAGAAAACAAGGTTGATAAAAATGTGGTTGACTGAAAATCAATAAAACTACATTTGTATTCATGATACAAAAACAAATTAGTGTTGCTTTGTTCAAAACTATTATGACTTTTCTCCTAAAAGGCTACAAGTGCCACATTATGCTCAGAAAAATTCAGGAAATTCACAAACACTAATGATTATCATTGGGAGCTCATTGAAATCAATCCAAAAATCAAAACTTGTGATTTAAAAAAGTTATTTATGAAATTAAATAAATAAAACATTTTATTGAATAAAATGCAACTTTGAAGTATTTTATTTTGTTTAGTGTGTGGAAAAATAGCTACAATTTTATCTTCTACATAATTTCTTTAATTCAGAGGTGCAATTTTGCCTTCAAGGTGGACTGCACGCACACACCCATACATCCATGCAAGAAAGAGTTAACATAACATGTACAAGTTTTTACAATTTACTGTTTGATTGGGATACAGGTTTAGCCTCAAATTTTATAAATGGGTTGGCAAATTTACTACAAAAATTAAAAAGTTGACTAAAATTGTGACTAAGATGGATATTTCCAAAAACAATTAACAGGTATGTGATATATGTATTGAAAATTATATTTTTATGCAGCTTTCTACAAATTCTAAGAAACTTTGTAAATAAAATTTCAAAAATAGCAAATGTATCAGTGTGTATGATACCCTGTGAAGGACAGCAGGACAAGGAATTAGAGATAGGCAAGAATAATTTCAGAATAATGGAATAGAATGTGAAGTGATTAAATTTTGATACTTGTTCATATTTAGATTGAAAATAGTATTTTTTCCATAAGAAGTTCCTAAAAAAGAATATATCATATGAACAAAATTATAGTTTAACCGACTACCATATATGTTATAGTTCATTAATACAATATTTTTTCTTACAAAAGTTTTAATTTTTTTTTCACAACTTTTTGTCTTCAAAATACCATAATAAATACATCCTATTCAAAAGAAAAGACAGACAAACCTGAAAAAGCAGACTAGAACGACGAAATATAATGCTGACTGCCATTTTACACTGATTTTCACTCATTTTTGTGAAGAGAAACTCAACTCTTGGTCTGAATATAAAGTCACTTTCCACAACCACCTGGGAGCGATGTTGGTAATGAACAACTTTATACAGCACTAGGTATTCTCCTTAAATAAACACAGAGACATTTGATGTTATTACTTTCATGTTTTTTTTAGATTTTATATAACTGTGTGTAAATATATATTTACATTATCCATAAATTTCTTCAAGTAAAATGTATAAACATTCTGGCCCTATAGTGAAATTGAGCTCAGCTTGCAGTGACGAAAGCTCAACACTAAAGCAATTGCAGGAAAATTTCTTTAAAGTAATAACATTTCTACACATATGTAGCATGCTTTATCAACCCAACTTTAAGCCAAGTTTAAATTCCTGTTGCACACAGATGAATAAATCTAGTGTTCAAGTAACATCAAGATTTTTTTTTAGATGGTTTTGTGTGTTTTCTATATTTATCTACTCAGTTAGATCTAGCTACAAAATGAAGTAACACAAGATATTCTCTTTTGAGAAGTTTAGTGTTTTTTGTGGTCTCTGCCTCAACTGGATATAACCACAAAACTAAGATAAGAAAAATGTGTGACTATTCCATTCTCACATAATCTCAATGCAAAAATACAAAACTTCTTAAAAAATTAACATGTATACCTAAAAATTAGTATATTCTAGTGTTTGTTCATTTATGTTAAAGTATACTACAGATTTTGTGACTCAGGTGACATTCTTCTAATATAGCTAGGAAATAAAAATACTAAATACCTTATTAAAGAGATAGAAAATAATAGACAGTCAAATAAAAAAAATAAAAGATGAAAAACTGCTTAAAGGAATAAACTGGATTTCAAGTTTTCTTACTTCAAACCTAACCAACAAAAAAGTTGATTTGTATGGACATACTCATAAAACTAGTTTGTTTTTAAACATCATATATATTTAAAATATATAAAATATTTATTTAAGTTAGCAAGTAAGAAATAGAGCACAAACATTCACGCATAATTAGTCACATGCTTGTGGACATCCTTCAGGTCTGAATTCACATCTTATTCATCGGATTTTAATTTTCAAATATAAAAGGTTTGTAAGGTTATAACCGATTATTTCTTTATATTATATTAATTGAAGATACCTGACAATGGCTGATAAAATTATATTGATAAACTATTTCCTTTCATTTTTATTAGAACAAAGTAAAAATGAGATAACATAGAAGAGAGATTCTTGACTTAGGGACAAACGTTAAAGTATACAGAAACTGGAGTTTAATTAATTTATGGAATATAAAATATTACTTGACTAAAATTATCTTTTTCTCTATGATCTGTAACACCTTCTTCCTCATTCATTTATTACAAGAAGCAAAGACTGATCTTAATCAGTAGTCAATGTTGATCTTTGAATATGAAACATATAAGCCTTCCGAAACTATTTTATGACTGAGTCAGCAAAAGACAGGACATTAATTATAATAGCAGTTTTGGCACTTTCACAAATACACATAACTTGTTTCAACTCTAAATGAGTCATAAAGACATATGTTTAAGGTTCATCCTTGTCTTCATTCTTATTCTTACAACAGTAAATTGCCAACCATGTATGTTCTTAATTTCTATTATAAATATAGCTAACAATGCCTAAGTTCAGTTTAAAATACTATATATTTCTATCAAAGTACAGTTTCTTAATTCCTAACAATTTAATTCATTTATCTTCAATGATAGCAGTTCAGTGCCACAAGTGAGACCAGCCTTGTTTCTGTTATTCTTTGTAAATCTGTTAAATAAATATATATATATATTGTAATCTTCACACTGTGTTTTGCCTCTTTCAACCTGTCTGTGACAAATGACTACACCTCTTCTTCCACAAACAAGATTTACGAGTCTCTCACAATTGTAGTGTTTATTTTTGAATTTCGCGCAAAGCTACACGAGGGCTATCTGCGCTAGCCGTCCCTAATTTAGCAGTGTAAGACTAGAGGGAAGGCAGCTAGTCATCACCATCTACCGCCAACTCTTGGGCTACTGTTTCACCAACGAATAGTGGGATTGACCGTCACATTATAACGCCCCCATGGCTGAAAGGGTGAGCATGTTTGATGTGACGGTGATTTGAACCCGCGACCCTCAGATTGCGAGTCGAGCGCCCTAACCACCTGGCCATGCCAGGCCCCATTGTGACCAGATAATAAATTACCTTGGTATATCATACAAAGATATTCCTCTTTCTTGTTTTTTTTGTCTAATGGTATTTTATTTGTTCTTATGTGATAGTAGCATAAATGCATAGATGATGAGTAGGGAGGGTCAACAAAAATCTACAGAAACTTTGTCAAGTTCTCCATAGATGTTTCTTTACATATCATGGAATCTTACTTTAGAGCTGTATGTGTTCTGCAGGTTTATTTTAGCACTCCAATTGTAACATAAAATTGCAGGAAAAGAGTTATTGAAATAAATTGTACATTTTTAAAATTAAAATGAATTTCAAACATCTCTAAAATATTAAAATCCTTTTATTGTTGAATTTTTTCTCATGATATTTTAAATGCCCTTGATACAATACAGAGTATGTGTAAACTTCCCAGAGTTCTCCACTCACCCAAGCATCAGGAGAACATAAATAAGTTCTGCTTTCTCACCATGATTCACATTTTCTTAGTTGCAGCCACGATGGAGAAAGTACTTATCTCCCTGTTTGAAATTAATCTTCATCCTAAAAATGTTAAATTAAAATCAGGTAAACTTACCTCTAAAATAATAACAGCCATAATACTCATAGTGTGATGGAGGAAGGAACTGGAGAGAGTCATAAAGACCACTGGTTCATCAAAAACTGGACTCTTATAAGGCAGGAAGATATAACCTAGACCACAACAAATGAAAGATGTGATCAAGCAGAGTTTCAGTAGAATATAGAACCAGAGTAAAAGGAAATGGAATGAATTTGTAGGAGAATCGAGTGAAGCTGGCCAGCTTCAAAACAGAATGAATCATAGTAAGAATACTCAGAAAGAAAAAGATATCCTTCTCAGCATGATGCCCCATTACCCTAGACACTTTTTAAATAAAAAATTATAAAAAGGGGGACTGGACAGTATGTATGTAGCTGAGGAACCATTTACATTCTCTAGTGTGGTTATAGGTGGTGGGACAATATGCATTTATGGTCATAATACAATACATTGTCCTTTATCTGTAGTGGAAAAATCTCTGAGAGAATACCAGTAATAACTAATTACTGGACATGTTCCTGGTACTATGGCTGGCCAACTCAAGAAATCAGCCTATTCAGCAGCAACCCAGGCAGATCCAAGAATGGGTTCAACAACTCTGGACATTGCAATGAGAAACACCAAATAAAATTAAGAAAGAAAATATAAAGCTATAAGGTTTCTCTGTTCTTGTTTGAGGCCATGAGATATCATATGGAGAACAGTCATCTCATCTCTGATGTCTCAAATGCTACACAAGAATGTATAAGCAAAGGTAGTAAAAATACCCACCAAGCCTTATTATCTACCAGATGGCATCCTCTGTCCATTTTCAGAGGACATTATCCTCTCATGCAGCAGCAGTATAGAGGGTTGTATTATGTAAAGAACAATCACAGAGACACATGTAACATACCATATTCCAGACAGAATGAATGCAGTCAAACACAGTCTCAAATTATAAAGAGGGTACAATGATTTTGTTTTTAATTGAATGATTTCCCAACTCCAGACATCACTGTAATTGTTAAAAAGGGTGTTGGGTGGAATAATCATACCAGAGTTGCCATGTACAACCTGGGTGAGGACCCAATGGTAACTGAGCAGGTAAAAATTAACAACTTACTTGCTAGGGATTCCATTTGGCTTGTATAATCACAACTGGAGGCAAACAGAATACCAAAGCTCAGTAAACAGCAATGTAATGTAAATAAAATGTTCATACTGTATTTGGATTTTCTCATATGCTAATCTACAGAATATACTTTAAAAAGGTACTGAAAATAGTTAATTCAGTGAGACGCAACCTAAAGTTCACTTTAAGTCATTCAGAAAGATCAATGGTTGAGCAAGATTCTAAAAGTGCAAATTGCCAGAAAGTATAAACTACCTTTACCAAGAGTCCCTGAAGTATTCAGTATATCCAAAATAACAAAGAATAACCGTGACAGCAATAAAAAGGATTTAACTGAACAAAAACCAGGTAACACAACAGATGATAAATAGTGGATAATTTTACTTGTAGCCAGTAGCATATCTGGGGTGGGGAGTGGGTGAAATCTTAGCAATAAGTTTTTATAATTAATTACTTATATTTTGATTTATAATATGAGCAGTCATGAAATATCATTCTTTTTTTCTCACTTAATTATGATCCAGGGAAATGTATACAATTTTTGTGAATTTACAAATTCCAATATGTGTGAGGACTTATGCTGGCTGGTCCTACACTGATTCAAAACCAGACCACCTGGGAACTGACTTCCAGGCAGAGGTAGGATGGGGGAAAGCTAATTGGAGGGGGTGAACTGCATGTGGTGGATTAATCCAGTCCAAAACCAGGTGGCATTGGTAATTTGTCATCTGGTCCATGATACAAGGAGAGTACTCACCATCTACACTGACAGAACACCACTACCCTAGGCTCAACTGAGTGGAAGTAGTCACATGATGGAAGAAGGCTACATGGTCCACCACCCCAGGACCCCTGTGATACACTAGAAGAAAGGAAGAATAATGTTGTGGGAGTCCAAAGGAATTCAATGGGTGACCACAAAAATCCTATTATAAAAAGCAGATCAGTCTGGGTTTATTCAACTAGGACCAGAGGGATGGGCAGCAATTCCAGCACTGCTTTACTCATCATAGTCCATGAGTTAGTACGGTCTGGTGTGGGCCTTCTTTATGAAGCCAGATATCGCAAGGAAACCTCTAGCAGTCTTGTGAGCATTATAGACCTGTAAGGCCATATGGTGCAGACTTAAAGTTAAGTATACCCAGACAGGCATCACATACCATTGAGCAGGATCCAATGATGTAGAAATAGGCTACAGTAAAGGCAAGATATATAAAAAGCCAGTAAGGGGTATGTAGAATGGTGACAGGAGGAAG